AACCACCGCTGGCCCCGTGGGTGACGGAGTGATCGAAGGCGAGGAGTGGGCACGTGTCCCCTGGAACTGGCCCACAGGATGGAGGTGGCGGATTGAGAGAGGCGACAGCTGCAGAGGGATCTGGAGGACATTATTCATGCGATCCTGCAGTTGGTAGCTATTAGGGAGCAGAGGGAAGCCCACCCGGTGACACCGGTGGTGCCTGCAGCCCCACCGGCTCCCCCGCTGCCACCACAGCCTGGAGATGTGCCCAGGCCAGGTCCGGGGGAGGTCCCGGTTCCAGCACCCCGACCCTGTAGTCCGAGAGGCCCAGCGATTCATCGCCCGAAGGACCTCATTGAGGCCATGTTCGACGGGAACCCTACTTTGTGGTTCGAGTGATGAAGTTCGTGGAAAGATTGGGCCACCTGTTCCCAGATGACAGCAGCCGCGTGAACGTGGTAGCGGCACGCTTGTGGGACGAGGGGAAGGTACAAGTCATCTCACCCAGGTGTCAAGAGCACCGATGGGACTTGAAATGGGGCCAGCAGCTGATAGCGAAAACCCCTAGAGTGTGTCTGGCTCAAGAGGAGCTGCTATCCATTCCCCCCGAGTATTGGGACTTGGCCAGGGTGTTTGAGGAGAAAGAAGCTGATGAGCTCCCACCTCATAGACACTCGGACTGTAGCATTGAAGTATTGCCTGGCCAGAAACTACCCAAGGGGTGCATTTACGCAATGGGGCCAGCGGAGAAAGATGAACTGCGCAAGGTCATAGACAAGAACCTGGCCCATGGTTTCATTAGACCGGCCTCGTCCCCGTTTGCAGCTCCAGTATTGTTCTGAAAGAAAAAAGATGGGGGGCTGAAACTATGCACGGATTACAGAGGCTTAAATGTAGTGTCGTCAACTAATGCATACCCCATGCCCTTGATCAAGGACTTGCTATCGGAAACAGCCAAGGGGAAAATCTTTTCTAAGTTGGATCTTCGGGATGTGTACTTTCGAGTGCACATCAGGGAGGGGGACGAACATAAGACTGCTTTTAACACCCCTCTCGGACAGTTCGAATATCGGGTGATGCCATTCGGTCTTCAAGGGGCTCCGGGGGTCTTCATGAATTTGATCAATGAGGTGTTGCACAAACATTTACTCAAAGGGGCCCTTGTTTACCTAGATGATATCTTGCTGTACTCCCCCGACCTACCCTCCCACGTGAAATTGGTGAGGGATGTGTTAGCCACGTTGCACAAGCACAAACTGTTTGCCAAGCTGTCCAAATGCGAGTTTCATAAGATGCACATTGACTTTTTGGGTATTGGATCTCTGACCAGGGCCTGGAGATGGACCCGGGGAAAGTTCGCGACGTGCTGGGGTGGGGGGTACCCCGCACCCGACGCCAGCTCCAATCCTTTCTCGGATTCACAAACCTTTACAGAATTTTTTTGCCCAACTTTGCCCAGGTCAGCTTACCCCCTAACGGACTTGCTAAAGACTAAGGGGAAGGGGCCGAATGCTACTAAGCCGAGCACTGTGTTGCCATGGAGTAAAGAGTGCCAGGAGGCTTTCGAACGCCTCAAAGCCTTGTTCACTTCGGAGCCAGTCCTCGCCTACCCCGATGAAACGAAAAAGTTCATTGTCCAAACCGATGCGTCAGATGTTGCCATGGGGGGGGGATTCTCCAGGTGGGTGGGGGTGGCTTGCTACATCCCTTGGCATACATGTCAAGGAAATTCAATGACACAGAACGTAACTGGTCCGTTTGGGAGAAGGAGGCGGGGGCAATAAAGCTCGCTTTAACCACATGGAGACATTGGTTGGAGGGGGCAAGGGTCCCGTTCAAGGTGTGGACTGATCATAAGAACTTGGAAACGCTTAAAACACCTCGGTGTCTTAATGCAAAGCAGCTCTGGTGGGCAGATTTCTTTTACAAATTTCAGTTCACCCTACATCACTTCACCGGCTCTGCAAACTCTTTGGCCGACGCCCTGTCACGCCTACCCCAACATGATAGCCAACGGGAAGTGGTTTTGGACTCAGTGTTCACGCCTTCCCATCTGGGTGGGGCGGTGACGACTCGTAGCCAGACACGCCTCACCGCTCCACCCCCTGTGCCGCGGGACCCGGTCCTTCCCAGTCCTGAAACACCGGGGGGGGGGACCTAGCACAACAAGTTCATCTCAGCCTTCTCGGAAGGAGACAAGGCCATCCTCGAAGCGGAGGGGGATTTCGAGCTACGGGCAGACGGCTGTTGGTATCGAGGACATAAACTGTTCATTCCCCTTTCCCTCAGGGGGGAAGTGTTACAAGCTGTGCTTGGCTCCAAACTGTCGGGACACCCGGGTTTCGTTAAGTCCCTTCAGCTCTTGCAATGGCTATTTTGGTGGCCGCAAATGCGAAAGGATTTATCCTCTTTTGTAAAATCCTGCCAGATCTGTGCCATGAGTAAGCATCAACCGGGGAAAACCCCAGGGCTGTTACACCCCCTTCCTACCCCGAGCAGGCCCTGGGAAGTAATTTCCATGGATTTCATTACAGATCTTCCACTGAGTAAATCGATGACTGTTATTTGGGTGGTGGTGGACTTGTTTTCCAAGCAAGCCCATTTCATTCAGTTTGCTTCCCTGCCCATGGCGAAAGCATTGGCCAAAGCATTTCTCCTTCCCCCGGCCCCGAACCTACTCCTTCGCTCAGACTCCCCTGTCCTACATCACAACATACCTCAGTTGAAACTGACAGCATGGCAGATAACGTTGCAGGTTTCTCCTTACGTGTAGTGAACGTCCTTTTAAATTCCAGGAAGCCTACTACTCGGAAGTCCTACGACTATAAATGGAGAAGATTCTGTTCTTTTCTGGGTGATGACGCCCCTCGAGCCACCTCAGCTGGCCTCGAAAGAGTTTTCTGTTTCCTTCTCTCTTTAGCTGACTCGGGACTTTCCCACTCTTCTTTAAGAGTTTACTTAGCCGCTCTGTTGGCTTTTCATGTTCCAGTTGACGGATGTACTCTGTTTGCACATCCAATTTCCAAACGTTTTTTAAAAGGTTTGCTTCACTTTTACCCTCCTGTCAAAACTCCAGTCGCTCCATGGGACCTTCCTCTAGTTCTACACCAGCTTACAAGGAAGCCCTTCGAACCACTCGCAACATGCGAACTTAAACTCTTAGCGTGGAAAATGGCCTTTTTAATTGCCATTACCTCGGCCAGGCGAGTGGGAGAAATATTGGCTTTCCGGCACGATACACCTTACCTGTCCTCTCTGCCTGATGGAGTCCGCTTAGTCCCGGACACCTCCTTCCTGCCGAAGGTGGTGTCAGAGTTCCACCTGCAGTCGGAGGTCTTCCTCTCTGACTTCTTCCCAAATCCAACATCAGCGGAAGACAAACTACTCCACACCTTGGACATGAAGCGGGCTCTCCTACCTCACTAGAACACACTCGACTAGACAAGACTCACAACTGTTTGTCTCTTATGCGTCAGCACAACTGGGCACTCGCATCACGGCCCAGTGCCTGTCAAAGTGGATTGTGGGTCTCATCCGTCTGTGTTACCAGATCGCCAAACAGCCATTTCCTGGCCCTATCAGGGCTCATTCTACCAGGGCTGTTGTGACTTCCACTGCCTTCCTCCAGGGAGTGCCGCTGACAGACATTTGCAAAGCCGCTACGTGGGCCACACCTAATACCTTCATCAGGCACTACACCCTAGACGTACCAACACCAGTAGCAACATGGGACGTCACATTCTGTTCTCGGCTACACAGTAAAAGATCTGCCAGCACCCTCCTCCAGGTAGGCCACTGCTCGCTAATCTCCCATGGGTGTGAAGCACAGAGACCACGACGAAGATAAGCAGGTTGCTTACCAGTAACTGGTGATCTTCGAGTGGTCATCTGTGCATTCACACCACCCACCCTCCTTCCCCGCTGCTGTCAGCTTCTACATTTTTAATAGGGGTTGATTTGCGGCAGTTTGTAGGAACTGGCGGGATGTCCGTGCCCACCCCTCTGGGCATGCGCGATGGGGTTCCTGCACATGCCCGAGGAACTGGGTGCGAAAATCCATTAAAAGAGCTTGCTACAGCATTGATTGATCCAGCGCGTGTGCACTAGATCCCATGGGTGTGAATGCACAGATGACCACTCGAAGATCATCAGTTACTGGTAAGCAACCTGCTTTTGCTTGAAAGGCTCATTTTCCAAATATGCTCTGGTTACAGTTGTGGTGGGCTTCTGTTGCTGAGGTTGCTCAATAACTTGGTGAGGAGGCCACTTGTTTTGCCAACAGAAAGTTATTTCTAGTGTATCCAGTCAAAGGAAATCCGGGCTGCGAAAGACCCTGAATAGGCACCATCCTTCAGAGTAGAGAGTGTCGACTTGGGTGTCTCAGCAGCCTGCCTTGGAAGGCAAAGTCATTTTTATAGCACTCTGGCTGTTATAAGTTATCTCAGTAATCATTGCAACAGTTCTGCAAGGTGTATCACTACTTCGCCCATATTACAGATGCATGCCTCCTTCTCAGAGAGAGTGAGTTGCTTGCCAAAGGCCTCTAAGTGGTCTTGTGGGTTGAGGCAGAATTCAAACCCACTACCTCACAGGTTGCACACTTGACCTCTGTTCTGTACAAATAGTTATAATCAGTCCATCTGGCTAGGTCCTCTTTCATTACACTACAGGATAATTACATAATTGATACTAAACTGGCAGCTTGCTGTGGACTCGCAGCAGTTTGTCTCTGCAGGGACATGTTTTGGTAACAGAGCAGTAGGGACAGCAGCTCTTCTTGATTGCCTGGCAACCATTTCCAGCCCTGAGGCAGCCTTTTACTGTCTGACACGGACCCAGTAAGACCCTGGGGACCCTCTGCCGCTAGGACATCTTTGGTTTTTGTATTTTTATATTTTCTCATTTTCTTGTATTTGCTTGTCCTGTGAGCTGCCTTGGGTGCATTTTTCTTTCCATGGAAGTGCCCTAAAACAAACCACCTTGTGTAATCTCCTCCCCAAATTTGCTTTTGTTTATAGGGTGAAAAGGTAAACTATGACAAATTCAGGAACTGGCTGTTGCACAATAAAGAGACCTTCACGTTTTCCCGCTGGCTGCTCTCCGGAGGCGTGTACGTGACCCTCACGGATGACAGCGACACCCCCACCTTCTATCAAACTCTCGCTGGAGTCACACACTGTAAGTAACTGCTACGTAACTGAGCAGTCCTGTTTCACGCGGGCGGCAGTCCTCAAGGCTTCCTGGATTTCGTGATGCTGAATAGATAGATCTTACTTGGGATCGTTCAGCAAACCGACTCCTTCTCTTATATGTGAACTACTGTGGCCAAACTTTTAAATTAATCCGCTGTTTGTACGGTACTGTACATTTATGTAATTCTGGCTTTATGGATGTGGCAGATAGGGCTAAGTCCGCCAGTCCCCTTTTAACCGTATTTGTCTGTTGGAGAAGCCGGAGGCAGCCTCTTTCTTGGATGTACCAATAGATACTATGAGGAATACTGGCTATTTGATACAATGTAGTTCAGATGTCATGAATTCAGTTCTTAAAACTGTGCTATATACGCTTGGGAAATGGCCATGAGCTTGCGCCAGGCACCCCTTCCCCAAACACCTGTGGTCAATTATTTCAATAAGTTTGCAAATCAGAATTTGGAGTCCAGTTCTGTGTGCCAATCGCAGTGTGGCAATTGAGATACTGTGACAAACTTCAGTTACAGGCAGCCAGGAAGTGACAGAGGGAACCTGTGTGCAAATGGGGGTGAGGAGCATATGACATCTGAATTGGGTCAGAATGTTGTGGCATTTCCCTGGGGAAGACAAAGAGCACCCCAGTAAATGCCCAGCAGAATCATACCACCTTCCAGAAGACATAGAAGGTACAGAAGCAGAGTGGTGAGTGATGTTCCCCACCAGGGACAGCAGGTGGTGTCACTATGATTGACAGCTATCTCTCTTTTTGCACAGTATGTTTCTGTCTCTCCCCCCAATATCGTTCCTGCCCTCTTGATTACTATATCCTTTCCATCCATTCAGTCAACAATTTCCAATTGAAAATTTTGTCCAATCCCACTCTTTTAAGAAAAGGGAAGTCACCCTGTACTGATTTACCCCCTGGGATCGTATTGTTTGCACCTCACCTCCTGACTTTTGTTTTACTGCTCTCTCTTGCCTCTCCGTGTTTTCCTGTCCCTGCATGTGTTGCTGATCTCAGTCTACAAGATTCATTATATTGCTGTTTAATTGCATTTGTTAGAAGAAACCAATGCCCTCCATATATATTTAACAAGGAAGCAGAGGAAATCTGATTATTTGAGTTTGTAGTATAGTAGGCAACGGCTGGCCGTGCCGGCAAAAGCCAGTAGAACTTTATAGCTTTCTGAAATATCTGTATTTGTCATGGGATTTACAGTCGATGCTGGCCATTTCCGATGGAATTGTAAGTGCCGTGAAACAGAGCAATTTGTCTTGGAGTTTACGAGGCCCGGGAAATAGGGAAACAAATATTTCCTAGCTGGTTGGCTTATATTCTCAGGGTTTTTGTATTTGTGGCTTTTTAAAAAAAAAAGACAAATCTTTTGGAACAGATCTGTTTACTGTAGACTATGTCAATTTTGTGTGATTGTCTGCGTGGTCAAAGAATGTCCTGTAGGAAGAGTCCCAGTACCTTGATGCTGCTTATCTGGCCCCTGTGAGCCCACTGAATCAAGGATGATGAAGAACTTGACTTGCAGAGAAAAGAGGCACTTCATCTTTGTGTGTGCGTTTTGTGTGAGTTTTATTGTATATCTGTCTTGAAGGGAGTTTGAAACAGCAGAGGACCGATGCCTGCTCGCCTCCTGAGGCAGTGGTGTGATCCTTTTGGAAAGCACAGTAATTCTCAGTGCCCTGCTAAATCAGAACCTCATGCTGGCTGAACTCATGGGCTCTCTACTGCTAGATACCACTGTCTCCCCGCCCCCCTCCTTCCCATGAAGCCTGGCAACCCCTGGGTAGATCAGATTGCTTCTGTGGAGGGGTGAACTTGGTTAGACTAGCGATGCCTGATCTCACCTGATCTTGGAAACTAAGCAGGGTCAGCCCTGGTTAGTACTTGAATGAGAGTCCGCCAAGGAAGTCCAGGGTCGCTACACAGAGGCAGGTGATGGCAAACCACCTCTGAACATCTCTTGCCTTGAAAACCCTACGGGCTGACCATACGTTGGCTGTGACTTGAGGGCGCTTTCCTCTACCACCACCACCACCATGTGATGCCCAACAAGAGAAGCCCATGGAATGCTGGCTGCTGGCTTTCGGCACTGGAAAGAGCCTAGACAAATTCCGGAAGGACAAGCCTACTGATGTACCCGTTAGCCAACCTGGATAATACTGCCTCTGAATTCCTTTTCCTGGGTGGCAACGGTAGAGAAGGGCTGTTGCTTCCAGGCTCTTGTTCTGGAGGCGCCCTGTGGGCCCAGTGGGTGGCCTGTGGGTCCGATCCAGCTCCCAGTGGCTTCACCAAAAGTAGATTTAGGTGGAGCAAGAAGGTTTGCCTGCCTTTTCCATTTGTAAGAGAGAAAAAGTAGTCAAGAGGTTCTAGACTCAGCATCACCCTCTTGCTTCTGGGCTTGGGGCGCACCCTCCTGGCACGTGCTCTGGAACTGCGCATTCCTTCCTGCTGGCTGCTTTGGCTTCGTGATAGAGCCTGACCACGAGAGAGGCAGTTGGCATGCCCAGCAAAAATATACTTCCTGCTCTCTGGGCTGTTGCCCGCAGAAACAAAGTGCCCCAAGCATAGGGAGAGTTGGCTGTCTCTCGTCTGCCTCATTTCAGATTGGAAAGCCACGTGAATCACCACCCAGACGTCTATGACCCTGCTTACAAATGGCTTAAGCCAGTCGCCAGGCAACAGCTGCTATCCCCCCCCCCCCCAGCTACTTGGAGAGTTTCTTATTGAAGGCTCTACTGAACTTGTCTGACGGGGATTAAGACCTGGCTGAATTACGAGGGAGAGCCTTGGCTCCCTCCCCCATATGTGCAAAGCTTGTCCTTTATTATCGTGCCTCCAATTTCCTTTGTGTTCTGGAAGTCATTAAAAGGAAGCCAGCGGTTGCAGGGCTGGTGTCAGCATACCCTGCAGTGGGGCAGCCTCCAGGGCCCATGGCTTCTGAGAGGGCCCATCGTTGCTGACTCCCTACTCACACAGTCTCCTCTAACGCCTGCATTCACACGCTCCCACTGCCTACTTGTGAGCACTTTGTCACCTGTGTTCCCACAGCCTGCATCTGCTGCCTTGTGCCTCTAGAGGAAGGCATGTGGGTGGGGCAGAAAACATCAGCCTGTCCGCTGGCCATGGCAGTGGCTCCCCTAACTGCGCCCAGCACCATCAGGGAAAGGGCACGCGGGCAGTCTGGGCAGCTATTACTGTGCAGGTGATGAGACAGCTTGCCAGTGGGCCGGAGAACGATCTGCAAACAAGTGGGGGGCTTGTGGGTGGGCAAGCAAAGAAGCCTGGTAGTGGGCATGCCCCCCCCCCGGGCACTCTTTGCCCAGGGCCTCACAAACCTGGAACTGGCCCTGAGATTATGACACACACAACACACATTTGGCTGTAAAAAACACTTGGAAACAGGCAAGACATACAGAGAGCACGGAAGTCCAAAGGCAGGACAACAGTGTTGACATTACTCCCAGAACGAATGGCTGGGCAAACACCAGGGAACACCAGGTCCTTTGCAGTAGGTGCCAAGCTCGCCCAGGGCTGAAACTCATTTCTGGGTTTTTACAGCCCTGGAATTTCTGCTTCGTGAGAATCGTCTGAAGGGTGAGGAGACTGGCTCATGTGCCTTGCAAAGGTATTTTGTCGCTGTGAAAACCAAAATACTGGTTTTGTTCAGAATGACTGGCCACTAGGTTTGGATTTATAAACCTCTGTGTAATCTTGAAAACATGGATGGGAAACTTTTCCCCTCTCCCGTAATACAAGAATTGAGGGAGTGGGGAGTGGCACCCAGTGAAATTGGTTGGTGGTAGATTCAGGACAAGCAAATGGGTGTCGCTTCACACAGTTGATTTGGAAACTTGTGACATTTGTTGCTGACGTTGGCTTTAAAGAAAGGATTAAATAAATTTGTAGAGAAGGGAGGTCCCTGGATGAACCTATTAATGAAGATGGCTAAATAGAGCCTCCATGTTTAGAAGCAGTAGGACTCTGAATTCTGCTTGCTGGTGGGCCTGCATGTTCTGCCTTTGGCCTTCTTGAAGGCACCTGGAGGGCGACCACATGCTAAACAGAGAAGCATCTGATCCAGCAGGGTCATTCTGCACTCATAGGGGTAAGGGCCCAGCTTTTGTTACCATTGTCCAGGGAGATTAGCTTTGCCAGCAGTAAAGAGCAAGGCATTTTCTGAGGCTCTGGGACAAGATTTCCAGAGAAGGTCAATCAGAACTGAAAACCTGAAGCTGCCTTATTCTGAATTAGACCATCTAGCTCAGTTGTCTCCTCTCACTGGCGGCGGCGGCAGCTCTCCGGGGTCTCAGGGAGAGGTCTTTCACATCACCCACTACCCATCTTTCTAACTGGAGATGCCTGGGACCCTCTGTACTCAAACGACATGCTCTACCACTGACCCACAGTTCCTCTGTAAATGGACCCTGCCTTAGATTGAGTCAGACCATTGGTCTATCAAAGTATCTCTCCTCTGGCAGCAGCTCTCCCGGGCCTCAGGTGTAGATCTTTCACATCACCTATTACTTGATCCTTTTAGCTAGAGATGCTGAGGATTGAATCTGGGACCTTCCGCATGTCAGGCAGATGTAGGATTAGCTGAGCTGCAGCCCCTCCTGTTGGGGAAGGTTTTAAAGAACCCCTGAGAATCACTCTGATGTTGCTGCTTTTTACCGTCTCAACAAATTCTGGTTTTATAGACACAGGTGAATTTTGGAGGACGGTCATATTTCTTTTTTTAGAAAGAATAAATTGTACTGTAAACCACCTGTGACAAGTAACAGGTAGCGATGCCTTGCATGGTGCCCTCTGCTGGTGGGCGTAATTTTTTTCCTATTAAAACCCATCTGAGGAATTCTGACATAGAAATGAAAAATAACCCTGATTAAAAATAAGCAAAAAATTATTATTATTTTTTTGGGGGGGGAGGGTTGAGGATGAATGGAAGACAGCGAGCATTTGTTGTGAAGCTT